TTTTTGTCTAAATTAAAGTGAATTTGTGGTTCCTTTTTCCACATAATGGTAGTGCTTATGATTAAAAAAAATAATAATTATGTGATCGGTATCGGTGATCGGAATCGGCAGGAAAAATCCTGATCGGCACATCTCTAGTTTTAACCAAACGGCATGAATACATGAGACCCAGGTGTCTGAAAACCCCCAGTTATTTCTATGTTCTTTGAAAAACAGAAAAATAACATGATTTATACGTAGCCACTGTAATAAAAACAAACTCCAGAGAATAAGCCTGTCACAATAAGCAATAAATCAATTATTCGCATGATAAATTAAAATAAGCTTATTGTTTTGTCTAATAATAATTTCTGGGACAATTTATCAACCAACATATTTCTCTACTACAGAGAGATTTCTTCTGGTAAAATAAAGTAAATTTCCTGCAGAAAATAACAAAAAAAACTGCATCCTGACACCATTTAAAACTCAGAACAACCAACCAGGACAAAGGTTTGGTTTTCTGTGTAAATATAACTTACATGTATCAATTGTCACCATGGAGTCATCGACGCTCTCCTCTTCGTCTTCAGCAGGAGGCTGCGGTGTGCGAGATCTGCTCAAAAACACAAACATAAGATCAGGAGCCTGGAACATCTTACCGTTCTGCTTGGTTGGGTGGAGAACGTCGATGTGCAGCTCTGCTACCTCTTCTCCTCGCGGTGCTCGTAGTAGCCGTAGCTCCTGTTCTCCTCGTGCGGCCTCTTCCGGCTGTTCCCGCCTTTGCTGTCCTCCGTTTTGACTTCGGCCTGGCTTTGCTGTTCTGCTTCCTGCGCCTCCTGCTGTTCGGCTCCAACTGGCTCAGCCTCGTCTTCTATTTTGATTTCTGTTTTAATTTCTAAGAGATAAAAAAAACAAGAAAATTATGCAAGAACTAGGGATACACCGATTCTGGCTGATCGCCGATCTTTAAAAGCCTGACCTGATAATTACAATTTTGACTGACGACGTGTTTTTTTGTCTGGAATGTTACTAAATGTTTAGCAAGAAAATCACTGAGTTGGAAACAGTGGGGTAAGTATTGCTAACTGCAAACTAGGGGTGCACCAATTTATCGGCGCAGACTTCCTTAGTTCTGGGAGAACTGTGGGGTTTGACTGACACACCGGCCCACCAGCTCATGTCTGCATGTTTGCTATATTTAGTGACATTTCAGAGAGAAAAATTTGGTATGAGCCAAAATCAGACTCCAGAGAAGTGCAATCGGTTAACTCATGCTCTGCAATCGTCACCAGCTGATAAATCGCTGCATCCTTAGCAAGAACCATAAACAATTTAAGCACTTTTTTTATACAAATACAATATTCAGCTTGTGATGAACCAAAGATAACAACCTTGTGCGTTGTCCTCGATGTTTGTTTCCGGCTTGCTCTCCTCTACGGACACGGCGCTCAATCTCTGCATCTCTCCGTGACCGGAGTCTGAAGTTTGCTGACTTTCGTACGGCTCTGCTTCTGCCTCCTCTTCCTCATAGTAGCCACCCGAATCTCTGCCCTCGTCTTCCTCTTGAGGGTTATCCCCGTCGCCAGCATCATCCCCGTCGCCAGCTTCATCCCCGTCGCCAGCTTCATCCCCGTCATCGCCTACGAAGTCTTGATCTTCTAATGAACAAGAAGTGATTAGAAATTAGCTGAAAGTTTGGAAAAACAATCCAGTGATTGGAGACCTTCTACAAAACGTCACACTGCAGATGCAAATATTAAGTGTTACAAGCGAGCAAAAATCAGCATTTGCAGTGTATGGCTAATAAAATGTGGTCATTTTGATCAATTTACAGATAATTGATTTGCAAACTGCATGAACAGCATCACTCCAAAACACAACTAATTGGAAAAATCAACACTATTTAATAAAAATATACAACAACAAATATATGACAAAACAACTTCAACTAGAACAAGGTTTATTGACTGAACCTATAAGATAAGAATAAATGATCAAACTGTTAAAGTAGTCAAAGAAACTAATATCTTGGGATTATTCTTGAAAATAACTTGATGTTTTCCAGAGTCAAATGTCTTAAGTGTTCCTGTTTTATCACATCAAGCTGATTTACTATATACACACTCAATAATTTTGTTCCATATTTCTTGCTGCATATCGGTTTTGGATAAGAATCTGTAAGATGGCATCAACAGATACAAACTATTTAAATTTGGACATTCTGGGGGAAAATTTAGCAAAAGATGTTTTTAAATGTCTGAATAATAATCTGTAATCATTACTTTCTGATCTAAAAGTAAAAATGAACATTTATATTTAATAAAGATCTAAAAAATTACCCAAGTCTGGGTTGCTCATATGAGAAAATGTAGCACACTTTATTTTAACACTTATCTAGTAATTTCCTTTACAGTTATTTATTTTAGGAGATCACTGCCTGCAGTTTTCCTGCACATCACTAGTCTTGATTTTCACATGCAAGCATCGGCCGATCACCCAAAATTAAAGAAATATGGTTCGAATTTATCATGGCACCCCTAATTAATTTACCTCACTGAATTTAAATTTATGGCTTTTTATACAGAGATAAGTTTAAAATTTGCATATCTGCTGTAAAGTTTAAACACAATGCATTTGGTTTAATGTGTTTGTACTATCCATATTAGATCATTTTAAGCTCTAGTTAATAGATCAATAAGTGCTTATAAAATAACTTTTGGAGACTATAATAGCCATGAGAATAATGTAAATAAGCATGTTTATGAATCTGTGACGTTAAAAGTGGGACTCTACCTTGTTGATCTGGAGCTTCCTCCTCCTCCTCCTCTGGGTTTTCCTCGTCGTATTCCTCCTGACCCGTTTGCTCCGAGGTCTCCTCCTCTGCCTCAGCCTCCAAGGCGGCTTTCAGCCTCTCCATCAGGTCCGCCTTCAGGCCTCTGGTGTCGAGGCCGCGGCGCTGAAGCTCCTCCTTTAACTCATTCACTTTCAGTTTTTTCACGTCTAAACTCATGGTTGCTGCGAACGGTAAACTCTCGAGTTTGTCGTATTTCTTAAGTAACAAAACAAGAGAGAAAGCAACAAAAAAAGAAACAACAAACATACATGACGGTTAGCCACAGTTTACAAACTGTGGTGCTGATTTTCAAACTGATCAATTCTGCGCGGTCTCTCAGCCGAACGGAATACGTAATGGTGTGGCTAGGCTATGCTAGGCTAGCTAGCAGTGCTGCATCAACTCTACACACATTGAACAGTTAAAGTTCGTGCGTAAAAACACTACGGTACATTATTACAAAATGGATGTTTGTAGATATGCTCCTTTAGGTAAAAGCACTCACTAGAATGCTTCTAAGGTAAGCCCTGGCTGCAAACCGCCACTGTACGGCTAAAGACGGTAACCTTCTAAGCCTAGCATTAGCTTAAACACCGCCAAGCGATGCAAAACAAATGCATTTAACACGGAGAATATAAACCTCCTTTAAGTCACACGGCTTTTCATGCAGGCCCTGCTGTCAGTGCATCGTATGTACGGTTTGTAATAAAACTGTAAAATAAAATATGAAGAAAAATAAAACTGAGGCCTACCTCCTTTAACGCGAGCTGCGCGGGTAAGTCCGGGTAGGAGTCTGAAAGTAACGCTAGCGCCCCCAGCGTCATCAACTCAAGGGTAAAAAAAAATCAGCGCATGCGCAAGGCGGAACAGCTCGCTCGCTACTACTTCAGGTTTTACGGCCCGAAATATGGGTCAGAGTTTACAATCTAAAAACTCCTGAGTTCAAACAAAAAAGAAACTCTAAGATCTTTCCTTCCCACAACCATCACCATCTACAATAAGTCTTACTTTAAATGAGCTACAACGACATTTAATTAGAATTTCAATGTTAATTACAACTAGACTCTACAACAGAATCCTGTCTCCTTTAACAAGGAACATTAATACCACAACCCAAAATATTATTCAAAACTATATATATAAAAAAATAACATAAAATCACACTTTTGCAATTAAGAGGACTTTTTTCAATAGGATATTTGTGGAAAATTTAAAAATAAAATATTTTTGTCATATCTAAACTACTAAATATTAAATGTAGTACTAGTTTTAAAGGCCTAAGTTAAAATATAAAAAAAGCTCAAATGTATTCATAAAATGCACTTCAATGTACAATGGAGTCTGTATTTTATAAATACATTTAAAAGGTTTT